GTGTTCCATGCCGATTTAGCAAAGTCACTAAAATCTTTCTCAAGCAACCACCAATTTTCAAATTTGAAAGTTTGTTTAGGCTTAGAGAAGTTACCATCCATGGAAATGAGGATTGGAGCATGATAACTAAGAATAATGGGCAAATTAAGCACCTTAGTATTAGGATAGTGAGCACACCAATCAGCATTAACAAGACAGCGATCTAGACGTCTGTAAATAGGATTAGTCGTATGTTGTCTATTACGCCAAGTGTAGGCAGGACCACTATAACCGATATCAGAGAAACCACACTTTTTAATTAAAGAACGAAAACCAGACATACGATAGTAATTCACACAACCATTAGATATATCAGCATCATACAGTATGTCATTGAGGTCGCCCATACAGATCTTATCATACACAAAATTGGAAACATGATTCCAAATAGTACTAGTCTGCCTATGATAGGGATCACCATATATACATCTCAAACAGAAGTGAATACCCGACGCTACATGAACTACATTTGCTAGGATATACTGAAAGGAGGCACTATGAACAGAAATTTTGAGATCATCATTCCACATAAGCCAAAGCCCTCCCGAAGAACCTCTAGAAGGAATAACAACACTACTAGTAACATCAAACCTATTAACAAGATCAGCAGAGCGAACCTTAGAAGATTTTATTTCAGAAACGAAGATAACATGCGCTTTGGTAGAGTGGATAAGCTTGGCAAGATAAGTCATTCGTTCATTGCAAGACTCCTGCCCATACCTCGACAATTCCAGGCGATGAATTTCATGGATCCCGAGGCACACAGATTACCTGACGTCTTACTCAGCCGAAAAACTCCTCCTACCACTGAACCTCAGGGTCACAGAAATTGGCAAAGACGGATTGGAGGGTGGGGAAGGAGAAGGGAGCTGGAAGGAGCCGAGAAAGAAAAGGGGTTCTGGAGAAGGGCGACTGAGAGGAATTGAGCGAAGAGGGTTTGCAAAGCGAGGAAGGAGAAAGGAACAGGGAGGAACAAAAAAGGATTTGGGAGAGGTGGCAGCGGAAACCCAGGGCGGAGTCAACCACTCCGCTGCAGATCACCTCACAGGTCCGGCCGCTTCAAGGCAACTGCGCCACTATAGATGTCGCCCGGCCACCGGTCTGATCGATAAACTCTGCAAAAGATCTCCCTTCCGGATCGATGCGCCCGCTGGATCCCGTCTTTGAACGTTAACAGGATGGAGGGGGGAAAGGAGGAAGAAGCAGGGAGAAGCAGAGGATGGATGGAGATCTGGAGAGGAGGCGGCGGAGAGGATCCGGTGGAATCAAATCTGGGAAGAGATTTGATGGGAAGAAGCATGGGAGGAAGAAATCGGCATAACGCCAGTCTCAGCTCGACTGCAAACTAGAGGACTTGTGCGTCAAATGTGATGTTAGAAGAAAAGACAACGTGTTGTTTTCTATTTTTTCAGGTTCTTTGGCTGTATTTTCTACTTTTATTATTTTCTCTTTCGCTTTCATTTTTCATTTTTCTTTTCTTAATTCGGTGAACTTTCTTTAAAAATCAAGAACTTTTCTTAAATTTGTGAACATTTTCTAAAATCAGTGAACTTTTTTTAAATACATGAACATTTTATTAAATTCATGAACCTTTTTATCAAATCCGTGAATTTTTGAAATGCATGAATGTTTTTATGGACCTGTGACCTTTTTTTCCAAATCAGTGAACTTGTTTCAAATTCATGAATTTTTTTTGCAAAAGCTATGAACTGTTTTCAACTTTCATGGAAATTTGAAAATGTCATGTTCTTTTTAAAATTTTGTGAAATTTGTGAACTTATTTTAAAATTTCATGAACTTTTTAAAATTCATGCACTTCTTAAAATTGGTGAGCTTATTTGGATTCACGGTTTTTTTAAATCCGTGAACTTTTTTCAAACTCATGAACTTTCTCCAAATTAGCCATTTTATATATCTGTGAACTTTTTTTCAGATCCATGAATTGTTTTCAAATCCATGAAAATTTTCAAATTCACAAACCATTTTAAAATCCATAAAACTGTTTTGGTTTCTCAGTTTTTAAGTCCATAAACTCTAAGACAATGGGAGCAAAAAAACTGGAGCAAAAAGAAACTGGTGCGAACGACCTACGCACGAGCGTGAGAAAAGGTGAACGAGCGAAGGGAGCACTAAATGGGTCCACGAATTTGCCAGCAACCAACAAGTAGCTTCTCACCAGAAATCCTGGAGCGAGCGAACGGTTGGAATTTTCTATATGACGCACAATGCGTCCAACTGTCGACGCTTTGCCCAGGATGCGTGGGCGTGCGACCCTGGCCCATTTCTGCATTAAGCAGAGGGCGTTTTGGTTCTGGTTTTGGGAGGTTCGAAGCCAGTTTTTACTGGTTTTGAGGGCCTTGTAGAGGTTCCAAGCCGGTCTCAACGGTTTTACGGAAGCTTCCTAAAATGGTTTTCTATTCTTTATTGCTTTCTGTTATGTGTTTTCTGTTTACTTTTTTCAAAAAGTGTCCAGGATATTCAACATTGTTTGCGTTTTCAAAATATGATTGGAATTTCTAAAACATTTACTGTTGTAATTTTTTTGTCACAAATTTTAAAAATGTTCGGGGATTTTGAAATAAATATTTGGAATTTGAATAAATGGTCATGTTTAAAATGTTATTCTCAAATTCAAAAAATGTTCACTTTTTCAGAAAACATTCATTTTAAAAAAAAAGTTCAAAAATTCAGATTTTGTCCAAATTACAATTTTTTGGGAATTTCCATAAAAATCAAATTGTGTTTGTTTTTTAATAAAAAATTAAAAAACCTTCAAACTTGATGAAAACTGTTCGGAAAATTTTAAAAATGTGCAGAATTTCCATTTTTTTTCATAAATTGTTATTTATATTTAAAAATTGTTCAGATTCTAATTTTTTTGTTCAGTTTTCAATTTTTTTTGCATTTTCCGATTTTCTTTTAGAAATTCAAAAACTGCTCGTGTTTTTAAAAAGGTTATTTTTCCATAAAAATGTTCAGAGTTTTTGAAATATGTACACATTTACGGGAAATGTTCGCGTTCATTTTTTTGCATCGCAGTTTGACAAATTTGCATTTTAGACAAAACGATCGCCCCCGCCCCCCCTCCCCGAAAAAAGCCCTCTAGTAGTTTTTTTTAAGAAAGCGCTCTAGTAGCTTAGCCGCTACTGGACTAATGGTCCTGCCTAGTCGACGCGGGCCATGTGTGTCGGGCGCCTATTGGACGCAATTCGGGTCATATAGGAGGTCCCCAAACTATTTGGTTTGTTAGCTTCTCCTGCCAATCGACTAATTTCAGATGTGGCATGAAAGAGGGAAAGAGCTAGGCTCGATCAAGTTGGTGAGTGCAATGACCCATTTAGTTTCCTTGCTGTTCTGATTTTTTTTGTTTAAAGTAATGATTTCAGCATGTACAGAGAGCATTATTAAGGGTGGTGTCATATTTTTTGCACACAGAATAATTATGTAAAATTTAAAACAAACATGACAATCTAGATTATGGCGTGAGTATGAAGTTTCACACATACTAGAGGCTAACACGCGCTTCACCACGCCGTTCTTCACTCGTGAAATTAACTATTTTATATCTATAGATTATTCTGATAAGTTGTTTTGTTTTGATTTTATTTGTGTTTGCTATGTGTTTTAATTTTTTATTGGTGGTGTTTTCTTGTTCGTATATCGTGTGGGGTTGCTGTTGGAGCATTCTTTTGCAAGAGAAGTGCGGAGTTATTTGATGCATGGTTGTGAAGTCTTTTCATATTTTGGCCCCAGTGTCAGCCCGGTGGTGATTGTTTGAGCCTCTTGGAAGCTCTAATTTCACACTAAAACCATGAAATTGTTACTGTGACATTCATATGAGTCGGCACACCAAGCTCTTGCTCGCTCAGCTAGCTCCCTGCTCCTCTCACTCGTTTATTTTGTTCGCTCACCCCACTGCTTGCTCAAAAAAAATCAGCTATTTTTTATCTAAAAATGTTAGTTAAATTAAATGATGTTTAAAGAAATTTAAAAATATTATGACTTTCAAAAACCATGAACTTTAGAAACATTCATGAATTTAAAATATATTCATGGTTTAAAAAATATTCACAAACTTTAAATGAACGTGAACTTTACAAATATCCACTTTAATCAATATTAACGAATTTGATTTAAAAAATATCTTTATGTTTTTGAAAGTACACAAATTTTAAGAAGTGCTCATGAAATAAAATATGAAAAGAATAAAAGGAAAAAAGAGAAAAAAATAAAACTAAACAACACACACTTAGCATGGGGCCTTAGTGACCCCACAACCATCGAAGCACAGGAGCACATCAATTCAAGGGACCACAACCCTCGAGCACATGAGCGCTTCAATGCAAGGGAACTTAGTATCTCTACAGATTTTATACAAAGAAAAACCTCACATTTTACATAAAGTTTGCAAATCAAAAGGAACACATACATATCTTCAACATCAACCATGCCTCACCAACTTAGAGCCATCGCAGTTATACCTGGCCATTTCTCAGGCCGGGCCGGGCTTTAGGCCGGGCCAACCAAAGCCCGACGCAAAAAACCCAGGCTCGAGCTCGGCCCGGCCTGGGCGTCAAGCCTAAAAATCGGGCCCGAGCCCGGCTCATCACACTAAAAACCCGTCGGGCCTCGGGCCATGGGCCGGGCCTCTTCCTTAAATGACGAAATCGACGGGCCCAGACCCGGCCTGGCCCGGGCTTTGGGCTCAAAACCTAGGCCCGAGCCCGGGATGGACAAGGTCGGGTCGGGCTGCCCATGGCCAGGACTAATCGCAGTAGCAGCTAGTTCTTGCGTAAACACATCCGGGTCGGCGAGTACGCACGGCCTGAACGATCTATACTCTTCACTTATTATTGCATGGCAAATGTGGTGAGCAACCTTAAAAAAACACTCTTCACTTATTTATTTATTTTTGAAATGTACTCTTCACTTATTTACCAACCAGAACTTCAACATAACTATCAGCAACTGAACGGGACAAAACCGATCTTCTGCGCTGTAACATCGTAGATCACCTCCGTCGACCGCTGCTGTGTGTTGCCGACAATGCTGAATGACATGGCCGTCGGCCTCGAGACGAACGCGAGGCACCCGATGGCCGGCTTGCTTGGGTCTGGGAAGATCATGATCCCGTAGAAGTTAAGGTCGAACACGGCGCCGTCGCTGAATATGAAGGACACCGCCGGTATGAAGATGGCGCTCTGGCCGGTGAAGTCATAGCACGTGTCGAGGATGTCGTATGCCGGCGCCGGCTTGTTCCCCTTCATGGTGAACTTGAACCGGTCGCGGAGCGAGGTGTAGGCCGCCGCGGGGAGGTACGTAAGGATCGTGCCGGAGTCGAGGAGGGTGCCCCCGTTCGTGAACAGGGACGGCGGCACCGGCAAGACGTAGCCGCCGATGTTGATGGACACGAGCTCGACGAAATAGAAGGACGGGTACTCTGGCTTCTTTACCATCGCCGTGTACTGGACCTGCTTGTTACCGGAGACCGGCGTGGAGCCGATGCTGAGGTACCCAGGCGTGGTGTTGAACGACGGGAGGCAGTATGAGAAGGTGCCGCCAAACGACGGAGCGGCCTGTGAGGGTAGGGAGAGCTGGCCACGGCCAAGGCCGAGGAGCCCGTCCACCTCGCCGAACCCGCCGTCGTTTTGCTCGCTGCATCCGAAAGCGAAGCTGGGGAACGTGCGAGAGGAGGAGAAGGACAGCGTCTCTTGGGAGAGGACGCCGGACGTGGACGAGCCATCGCCGTAGAGGACGGAAAACAGGCAGGTGGTGGCGTTGCACTGGCCGCCGGCGGCCATGCACTCCGGCGTTCCGCAGGGCACGGCCTTGTAGGTGGTCGACTTGGTGGGGTCGAAGATGGGGTCGTGCTGCGGGTAGCAGTGGCCGGAGCAGGGCTGGCACTGGATCCACGATATGTCGCTGCCGGTGTCGAACATTATGGCGGACGACCGCGCCGGCGTCCCGAAACCGACAACCACGACGAACTCCAGCGTGTCGAGGGAAGTCCCCGTTCGGTCCGGGATGGTCACGGATGGCGCCTCTGCTGGTGCCGCGACAGACGGCCACGGAATACGGCCGATGTCGGGAGCTGGAGCCATGACCATGTCGTTTGAAGAAGCCAAGGCTGACCGCTGGAGCAGGGTGGTCAGACGGGCACTGTCGTGGAGGAGGATGTCGTTCTGGAGCCCTGCCTGCTGGAAGTCGGACCCGCTGCTGCAAGCGGGATGGATGGCGAGCTTGTTTCCAGACGGCCGCAACTGTGGATCGTTTGCAAGCAGTGTCATCAATAATTCAGTATCCGGAAATAACTGTGGCTCAAAGGGGCATCGGTAGCGCGGGATCTACTCCCTTCGTTCGGAATTACTCGTCCAAGAAATGAATGTATTAAAGTGTTAGGGTAATATGTTCTATACTCCTACCTGTATGTGTGTCGGGATCATAGCAGCTGACTCGAGCCTTGGAACTGATGAGCTCGTCGAGGCCGACGGAGAGGTAGCGCGGGGAAGTTGCTGCCAGAGTGCAGCCGGAGAGAAGGGCAAACACGACCAAACAGGGCCCGAGGGATCCCTGGCGCTGGGTCGACGCCATTTGCGTATCTGAACCAAGGTGTTGCTGACGAGGAGGCCAACAGAACCCGAATCCATAAATAGGCGGGGCTTCGGAAGAAAATTGGGCGTAGCTTGCAAGAATGGACTTGGGAGAAGCTGAGCACCGGACGACTAATGGTGGATGGAATTTAAAATGTCATTTGTTCCATCGGAATGTATGTTGCTGCGATGGCTACAAGAACACCACGATGCAACTGATGTATGTTCAAGTTTCCCTTTTTCCTTTTTGATTTTTTTGGTGTGGCTCAACTGCGGCACGGCCACAAGACAAATGTTAAAAGGATAATGATTCCTGACGGTTGACGGGCCCAAACTTCAGGCGGTCTTGTGCGCGTCGTCAGATGCAATCAGATCGAACTTCGTAAATCTCAAGAGATATGCCGGCTCAATCTTTCGGAGGTGCTTATAGGGGTAGGGTAATGAGTGTATGCGCGTGTATATGAGCGTTTGTGTCTGTACTAATGCTCAAAAAAAGATGCAATCAGATCGTGCGCTCTCGGTTTCCCCACGTCTGTGCTCGCTGCCTCTGCGTGTCACACGTGCTGTCGGGTCCATGCACCGCTCGAATCTCTCCTGTCTTACCCCATCACACACACCGCTTCCTCCACTCGTCTTCTTCACAGCTCATTTTCTTCATCACAACCTCTACTACCTGCTGCCACACGGGACGACCAACGGAGCGGCTCCCCGCTGCTAGGGCA